CACAGTCAGCCAGATGTTCAGACTGGATTTGGTATTTTGTCTACCTATCGAGTCCTTACCCAGGACCTGGGATAGGCAGATTTGGATGTTTGATGGTATTACAGATATCGTCGCAGGATGGAAGCAGTTCCTAGTAAGGCCGCCTTTTGCAATTGACTAATAGTGAATTTGTCAATGCCAATGGTGTTCAAGTGGTGCTCCAGTTATTATTATGGATCATCGCACAGTCAGCCAGATGTTCAGACTGGATTTGGCATTTTGTTTACCTATCTGGGATAGGCAGATGTGGATGTTTTATGGTATTACATTGGCAAATTTGTCAATGCCAATGGTGTTCAAGTGGTGCTCCAGTTGTTTTGGGATTGCACCCAAGGAGCCTATTACTATTGGTACTACCCTTGCTTGCTTTTGCCACAGTCTTTCTATTTCTATTTGTAGGTCTTTGTATTTTGTTATCTTCTCCAGTTCTTTCTCGTCTATTCTGCTGTCTCCAGGCACTGCCACGTCCAATATCCAGACTTTTTTGTCTTTCTTATCGACAATTGTTAAGTCTGGGATGTTATGTTGCAGGTGCTTGTCTGTTTGAATTCTGAAGTCCCAGAGCAGTTTAATGTTATCATTTTCTATGACTTTCTCTATTTTATGATCCCACCAGTTTTTGCTTACAGCCAAATGATATTTTTTGCAGATCTTCCAATGCACCATTGTTGCTACTTTGTCATGCTGCTGCTTGTAATCAGTTTGTGCAATCTTCTTGCAACAGCTTACCAAGTGGTCCACTGTTTCTTCAGCTTCTTTGCATAGGCGGCACTTACTGTTTGTTGCTGTCTTCTCAATTTTGACTTTGTATGCATTTGTCCTTAAGGCTTGGTCTTGTGCAGCCAGAATTAGTCCCTCGGTCTCTTTCTTCAATTTTCCTGCTCTTAGCCATTGCCAGGTTTTATTATTATCTGCTTTCCCCAGCTATTTTTTTCATGTATTGGCCATGTAGTGCTTTGTCTTCCCATGCCTCTATTCTGTTCTTCATTTGGTCTTTCTTGTAGGCCAGTTTGGTCTCTCCAGTAGTCAGTAAGCCTTCCTGATATACTAATTTCAGTGCATCTTCATCATTTTTCTTCAGATATTCTTCCAAAGCCATTTTTTCTTCTTCAGCCATCTCATGTACTTGTAGCATTCCACGCTCACCTATTTGCCTTGGTAGATAAAGTCTGTCAATGTCACTGCGTGGATGAAGGGCATGATTCATTGTCATTATTTTTCTGGTCTGCCTATCCATTGCTTTTAGTTCTGCTTGAGTCCAGTCCACTATTCCAGCTGTGTACCTAATAACTGGAATTGCCCAGGTGTTGATTGCCTTTATGGTATTTCCTCCATTGAGTTTGGACTTTAAGATCTTCTTCACTCTCTTGATGTATTCACCTCTAATCTTTTTCTTGACTTCAGTGTACTTGATGTGGCACATTTGTCCAAGCCAAACTCCATTACAATATCTTGGCTATATATACAGACAGTGATGAGCAGCGATTCAATTTCAGATGATGTTTTTCCATACAGCTTCAGATCATCCATGTAAAGAAGATGGGATAGTCTGGTAGATGTTTTTGATATTTGATAGTCATGTCCTGAGTTATTCAGTATTGTTGACAGAGGAAACAGTGCAATAACAAATAATAATGGTGACAATGAATCTCCTTGAAATATTCCTTCTTGATATTAACCTCACCCAGCCTTTCACCATTGATCTGCAACTGTGTCTTCCATTGTGCCATCGATCTTTGCACAAATTTTCTGATGTTTCTACTGACTCCTGTTATTTCTAGGCACTTGATTATCCAGTCATGTGGCAGAGAGTCAAATGCCTTTTTGTAGTCAATCCATGCCACATTCAGGTTGGTCTTCCTTTTCTTGCAGTTTTCCAAGATCATTTTGTCTATTAGGAGTTGATCTTTTGTTCCTCTGCTATTGGGGCGGTTTCCTTTCTGCTCAGGTGGAAAGAGATTGTTTTCAACTAGATGCTGTTGTACTGCATCAGCTACCACACCAGTTAGTAATTTGAAAGTTGTTGGTAAGCAGGTAATTGACCTGTAGTTACCTGGTGTTGCCCCTTTTGCTGGATTTTTCATTATTAGGTAGGTTTTCCCAGTTGTTAGCCACTTTTCAATTTCTCCTCCTTGTAGTATATTGTTGAACTGCTTGGCAATGAGTGGGTGTGTAACAGTTAGATGTTTCAACCAAAGCCCATGCAGTTCATCTTCACTTGGTGCTGACCAATTTTTGATTTTCCTTGCTCTTTTTTCTACCATTTTTATTGTTATCCACCTCTTTTAACCAAGCCGCATCCTTGTTGTATTTCTTTGGGTTATCCCATATCTGCTTCCAGAACTGCACTGTTTCTTCCTTGTCAGGTACTGATTGATTCATTGCAGTTTCTCCATTGATGGATTGGTAGAAACGTTTCTGATTGGATTGAAATTGGAGGTTCTGCCTATAGTTTGCAATTCGAGCTTCATATCTACTGATTTTCCTGGCTATAGCTGTTATTTGTTGCTTTATTATTTCCAGTGCTTCCTTGATCTTCCTTGTTTCTAAGTGGTATTTCTTGATTAGGTATTCTTTGGTCTTCTTGTTCTTCAGCTTCTTTTCTTTCATCTGTTCTAGCTTGCTTGCATGTGATCTTAACTTGCTGATCTTATTTTCTAGTCTAACCTTCCATTTTTCTGGTGCACTGTTTGTTTGTTTTTCTTCTTTGTTGATTTTGCATCCCAGGTATTCAGTTATAACTGCAGCTGTGCTGTATATTAGTTGGTTTGTTTCTTGCAGTGAATTGGTGCTTATACTTGCTATTGCAGTATTTGCATCTTTTAATGCTTGTGCTAGCTGTTTCTTTGGAACAAGTTTCAATGCAGGCAGCCTTATTCTGTTGTTTTTGTGCTGTTCTAGATGCTCAGTTATTCTTTGTTTCAATTCTTTTATTTCTTTAGTTAGAGGGTTTTGTTCTTCCTGAGGAAGTGGTGCCTGGTTTCCAAATGAGAACAGTTGTACATTTCTGCTGGATTCCTTCACTGCCAATTCCCTCTGGTTTGCCTCTACATTCTGAATTACTTCTGGTAAGGCTTTGATTTCTTTGCCCTGGGTAAACCTTTGCAGTTCGTCTAATTCTGTTTCTGTGAATACTTTATTTTGTATTATAAATCGGCATTGATCTGCTAGTCTCTGTTCTGTTATTTCTGATTCTGGATGTTGTTCTTTCCAGAACTGGTGCATTCGTTTTAGATATCCTCTTCTTGTTGGACTTGATCTGTAGTAACATATCATTATTTCTTTGTTTTCAATCACTGTGTATCTGTGACGGGTAGACACCTTTTCTTCCAGTAGTTCTGCAGCTGCTGGCCCAGGTTGCTCAGCCAACAGTCCTGAGTCCTGTAACCCATTTTTCACCAGATATCCAGGAACTCCAATATCTAGCAGGGACCTTATTAACCCGGGCGACATCCGAGCCGGTATGGCATTCTGCAATTTACGTCTCACCATATTTTTTATGGGAGAGACACTCTTTGTCTGACTCCTCTGATGAGACCTGTCCAGTATGGTTGAACCTCTGGTATAGCTCTCATCTTCCTCAGAGTACACAAGCCCCACAACCACGTCAAGGTAGTGCCTCGCTGGGGAGGTAGTGCCTCACTGGGGGCAGTTATTATTATTATTATTATTATTATTATTATTATTATTATTGTTGTTGTTGTTGTTGTTGATCATCGCACAGTCAGCCAGATGTTCAGACTGGGTTTGGCATTTTTCTCTACTTATCGAGTCCTTACCAAGGACCTGGGATAGGCAGATGTGGTTGTTTGATGGTATTACAGATATCGTCGCAGGATGGAAGCAGTTCCTAGTAAGGCCGCCTTTTTCAATTGACTAATGGCAAATTTGTCAATGCCAATGGTGTTCAAGTGGTGCTCCAGTTGTTTTGGGATTGCACCCAAGGCGCCTATTATTATTACTATTATTATTATTATTATCATCATCATCATCATCATCATCATTGCCATTTATCAAAAGAGTCTATCCATCCTCTATGTTTTTAACACATAAAATGGCCGGAAGAGGCCATCTGAGACCTTAATATGATGCACCGTATGCCAATATTCTTAAACACTATCTAGATTTAGCCACGTGCAGATAAAGGTAAGATTGAATCCCAGTAGGAAGAATTCACTAGAAAGTCTGTTAGGGAATGGAATTCAATTTATTCCTGAAAGAGTTGCACTGTGTTCAACTTTTCAAAAGTGAGAGGTGCCAAGAAATTTGCAGTATTGGCTATGTCTGATCAGAAGGCAGCACCTCGGCGAAAAAGCTGGATCCACATATTAAGCCTCTGCCATCACTAGAACTTTATCCTGAAAAACAGTCGGATAGCTCAGCCATCCTACTAACTTGTTTGAGTAGGAACATGCCTTTGCTGCTAGCCTTGACCCAATATCCATGTATTGAACACACCTATCTAAAGGGAAATACACTGGGGCTCCTTTGTGCTCTCTCCTTCACTCTTTGTGAGATCTGTCCTCCGAGATGGCACTTACAGAATGGGCAGTCTGAAGAGCACAACCCTGTTTCTCTTTCCTAATGTGTGCATGGGAACCCAAGAATAGATTTTTTTCCATGCCCAAAACCTGAGTTTTAAAAGCCCTAAAACAGACTGGCTTATAAGCTCAGTGCCAAAAATTTGTGTCACAATTGCCTCTGAATATATTTCTTTCTTTGCTGAATATCCAATCTGCAGTCTCGGCACAATGGGTGTTGTTATTCATTAATATGTTTCTCTAGCAATTGAAATGTTGAGAGGCCAACATGAAAGACACTTCCCCTTTGTTAAGCATTTTCTTCTCCTTAATCATGCAGAAATTTCCCATGAATAATGTGAGATATAATTATTACCTGCAGCTCTGTTGAGCTTCCGTAAGCTGCTCCTTAAAAGGCATTTTCTTTTTATTGAATTTCAGATGACCAAGAGCAAAATTATAACCACCTGCTATTAAGCACTGCAAACCAGACACCATCACATGGTAAGACAACAAGCGAGAGATGATCAAAGTTACCAATGCTGTAACTTTTCCCTTTCTGCCAGTTATCCTTTGCTGATGAATTGTTAAACCAATGTCAATAGAATATTTTATGAAACAATTCTTGTAAAAGAAATATTTATTCTATTCATGGTATTGCATGGCAAGTCACATTGTTAACAATGGGAAAATAAATACAGCCTATTTACTCATATCCAACAAACAAAACTATATTTAGAGTCACATACTTTTCCTGCTTCTCAGCTGCTGCCACTGTCTGCCTTGGTGTATAAAGACAGATGCAGTGATTTGCTTAGATAAGACAGAGTTTAATCATCACTGCATCTCAATATTGTGCTGATAGCATTTACTAAATGCAATCATAGTAAATTCATCCTCCAATATAACTACTCTGGGTACTAAGTCTAGAGAAATGCAAAATATCAGACTAGCTAGGTTCATTTCCTTCCTCAATGAATTCTAATATAATCTACACTGCATTTTCAGAGCCGTTTAGAAATGTTTTCTTTTTGTGATTCTTAATATGGAATGGGTTTGAGCTCTAGAATTAGTTCTTCACTTTCAAGTGATAAGTATGACTATGAGGACCCACCTCAGCTAACCACCCAAGAAAGTAGAACTCTTGAAACAAATATTGTCTCAAAAGGAAACTTTTATTAAGGATTAGTGACAGTGGGGAAGTCAAAACGAGATCTGGGGAAAATCCCGCTTAAATGGTATAGTTAAACCAGCAATATTCCTCCTCCCACCAAAGTCATAATGTCCATTTGAAATCCAGCCAATCCACAGGTGGCAACAATGTGCGGGTAACTGGCACAGTTGGCACACATCTTAAGGTCTTCTTCAGTTTCATTTCTCTATAGCCGTCTCCCTGATAAGGGAGACACATTCCTTTCTCAAGTGGATAGAGGCAGGAGAGAGAAAGTAAAAAGCAAAAGTTATCCCAACTGCAAGCAAATATCCCACCTCCCTCCCCCCAGCAGAATGGCAGGCCTCAAAACAGAAGCACAAAAGGATATATGCAAGGAAAACAATAGGAATTGTTGGTTTATTTATTGAATAAGTGCTCAACTTGTAATAGACCTAAGCTTAACCAATTGATAAAAGGTAGGAATAGCAACCCAAAGTAATTAAAGAGGTTAGGGAGCCTGGCTATATGGATGAGTTTAATTCTTCAGGACCAGATTGATTAAAGCTAAGAGTTTTGCAGAAACCTGCAGATATCATCTTAAAACCCTTTTCTATGACCTTTGAGGTGTCGTCAAAGATGAAGGTAATGCGAGAAGATCAGAGATGGAATAATGTTCCAATATTTTAAAGGGATAACCAGAAAAGCTGTAGACAAATCAGCTTTAATATCACTATTGGGCAAAACTCATAAAATCAGTCCATGAGCATTTAGGAAAGATGCATTGCTTGTAGGAGCAAGCATAGGTTTATCAGGCATAAATCATGTCAATCCAACCCACTCATCTTTTTTTTGACAGAGTGACCAGTTTAGTTGGCCATAAGAATGCAATGCATGTACTGCAGCTTAACTTCAGTGAAGCATACAACAAAATCTCCCAAGAGATTCTATAGAGAAGAGGGCAAAGCAATCATAACCAATAAGTATACAGCAATGGTTCCAGTTGGGCCAGTCACTGTCTCTCAGACCAACTCATTTCACAGGGTTGTTCTTGTTGGGAAAATAGGAGGAAGGTGTGTTAGATATGTTTGCCAGCTTACTTATAAAAATAATAAAGGCAGGATATAGATAGATAGATAGATAGATAGATAGATAGATAGATAGATAGATAGATAGATAGATAGATAGAGATAGAGATACATAGATATAGATATAGATATATAGATATATCCTGCGGGAGCGAATGAACAGCGGATCTCCAGGCACCCATACACACACAAAGAAAAAAACAGCAATTGGAGAGGAGAGGACAACTTTAGAAATGGTCCCTTTAAGAACTACACAGCCGATACTGATGGGCGGACCTATGACCCGATCCAGGGTCAAAGCGCAGAGGCAGCCAGCCACATAAAAATGGACTCCCGGATCCAGCATTTTATACCCTGACGATGTCGGTAGTGTGGCTGACAAAACCTTGCTTTTGTAGATTAAACATTTATGTTTATGATTTTATCCTGGTGATCACCTTATTTTACTTCACATTTTATATATATGAGTGACAAACCACTGGGTTGCATTCTAGGCCCTGTATTGTTCAACGTACTTATAAATGACTATGGTGAAAAGTTAGAAAATAAAGTATTCAGGTTTGCTGAAAGAGGTTTTTTTAACTTATTAAACCTAACTGTCAACTGTTCCATTGGCATATGCAGCAAAAGAAACTCCTGCGACATTATTTTACCAAGAGTGTAAATTTGCTGATAGATCCATACAAGCACAGAAGAAGCGAAGCTAACTCTGAGGTTTTCAAGCAAAAAACAGCATAGTTAATTTCCCCCTTTCTCCATATGGGCCACCCATTGTCCATTGGCCACCAATTTAATACATTCTTTTTATTTTGGGAAAACAGTCAGTGCTTTCGGAAGGTTCCCATTGCACGGCCTTGAAGTATCAGGATCTTGTCAGGCTGCCAAGGGCTCATATAAATTCCTCACCTCCCTCCCAACTCCCAATACATTCCAAGCATTCTCCCCCCCCCCTTCATTTTTTTTAGTATTTTATTAATTTTCTATTATTACAATTCATTAGTGCTTAATGAACGTGTAGTCTGTGTTAATTTGTTTTACTTAGTAATACAAATTAAGTTCTTACTCTCTGTCCCATTTTTCCAGCCATTGATAAAGTAAGTTCCATGTTTGAAAATATTCTGCATCTTCTTTTTCTTTGATTCTCAATGTAAGTCTATCCATTTCAGCACATCTTGATTATCTCTTCATCCAATGGAGTTTTTTCATTTTTCCAGTGCTGAGCAAATAAAATCCTTGCTACTATTAATATCAAATATACACTTTGTTTATCAATTTTTTCTGGAATTATACCTAATAAAAAAGTTCAATTTTAAAATCTACATGTTTCCCTAACCCTAACCCCCTTCATTTCTGTTGTCAAGCTGCGAGTAGAGGTGCATTATGAGTCAGCCTTGACACAAACTCACAATAATATGAGTCTGGATGGCACATAACTATAAAACAAATATCAACAGCAACAAATAACAAAAAAACCCCTTCGAATTACATACTTTTAAAGATTTTTCCCTACCTTTATTATTTTTATAAATAACTCAAGGTAGAGAACATATCTATATTCCCTCCTCCTCCTATTTTCCTCACAAAAACAATAATCCAGTGAGTGAGTTGGACTGAGAGAGAGAGATTGGCCAAATGTCAAACATTCCTTTCATTCCTAAAGTGAGATTAGAATTCACAGTGTCCTCCTTTTTAACTTGGGGCCTTAAACAATAGACTAACCTGGCTCTAACAACACATATTTGGGACATAAACACATATCTTCAGCATCTCAAAATGACCCCAGCTAACAGCCTTGTTCCAACACTTGAAGGATAACAATCACCTGATAGGATAGACTGGAGTATTTTGAGAAGCTGGAACAATGGGCGGTAACCAGCAAGATTATATTTAACAGTGACCAGTGCAAAGCCTTGCATTTGGGTGGGGGAAAAAAAACAAAGATACCATATAAAAATGGAGGAAGCATATTTGGCAGCAATGCAAAAAGAACCTGGATGTCTTGGTGAAGCTGAACGTGTACCAAGAAGGTGATGCAGCTGCAAAAAAAAAAAAAAATGCAACTCCAATAGAACTATGATGTCAAGATCAGGAAAACATTGTTTCTTCACTCTTTGCATCAGTCAGACTGCACTTAGAATATTGTAGGCATCATAGCATAGAAAAGATATTAATAAATGTCAGACAAACTGGATCTGGTCCAGAAAGAGCAACTATGACAATAAGAGTTCTGGAAAAAAAAATAAGAGGTAGAGTGACAGGCGTTTGGTATGTTTAGACTGGAGAAGAAAAGCCTGCAGGATGATATATGATATTGACTTCAAGTATTTGAAGGGTTGTCATGTAGGAGATGGGGAAGAAATTGTTCTGCTTTATTTCAGGAGACAGAATAGGAGACGGGTTTAAATTTCAAAGAAGCAGATTTTGATTGGGCATTAGGAGAAATGTTCTTAAAGTGAAAGCTGTTCTGTATTGGAAGAGACTGCTGAGACTGGATGGACGCATGTTGGGGATATTATAATAGTAGATTCCTGCACTGGACAGAGGTTTGGACTAGGTGATCTCCAAGGTCCCTTCTAGTCCTTACATTCTATGATTCTATGACTCCCTCTCCCTCAACAAATGTTGCTGAAATTAGTATCCCACCCTCACCACTGAACAGGATAATTGGAACTGCTGGATGTTATCATTTAGCACAGGGGTGTCAAATTCAATTTCATTGAGGGCCACATCAGCATTGCGGTTGCCCTCGGGGGAGGTGCGGCCTACTGGGTGGGCGTGGATGGAGACGGTGTAGCCTACTGGGTAGGCATGACCAGCTCTACATCGTTCGCATCAAGGGTGCCTGTGGGGGCCTGGGCAGGAGTGGGACAGATCTGAGGGTCTCTGCAAGAAGGGGGTGGGACCGGGGCAAGTGCCAAGGCATGGTCCATTTCTTCATTCCTCACAAAGGGTGACACCTCCCCAGCATGCACCCAAGGGACGGGGCCGACACAGCAGGGGCCGGTTCCTTGCTGTTTCTAGATGGCCTTGTGGGGCTAAGACTGAATGCATTTCAGCATAGATGGCCACCACAAAATTGTACAATGGCTCCTGGCCAGCCTGGGCCAGGGCCAAGGCAGCGGGGGCCATTCCCTCACTGTTTCCAGGATGGCTTCGCGGGCCACATGAAACCATTTCGCAGGCCGCATCTGGCCCCCTGGCCTTGTGTTTGACATGTCTGATTTAGCAAGTCCATACATTTTTCTCCTCTGTGTGCAATGAGGCTT